TGTGAATTCACATGTTGGACAAACGCAAGATGTAAGCTCATATTTGGGAACAACGCGATGTGATAATTCAACTTTTCTGATTGTGATACTCTTGTTGATTAGTACACCAAAAATGTGAAGGCACATTCTGGAAACACGCACGATGTGAAATCACAATTTGGGGAAACTCAACATGAAAATTATCACATTTTTGGAGAATCGCACCAAGCCGTCGATGAACCTCTGGCAATGGCCCGCGACCTGTCAAGGCGGGCAACGATGGCTGGGCGATGCGTCACCGCCAAATGACAACGCTCGAACGTCGCATTCCTGACTCGATATGCCCACGCGCAATGGATGCCAACCAAACCGGAACATTTGCGTGGGCGATGCATGAGCCATGAATGGATCACTCAGCACCTATGGAAAGCCCGCTGTGGCGGACCCCCACATTCCCCTACGAACTCTTGAAACTGCTGCAAACTGTTGCGAACGAATGTGCGCGGCGCTGAAGCGAGAGCCACATTTTGACCCCCCTCCATCCTTCTTGTACCTATCGAGAGATTCAAGACTCCAGATCATAGATGGTAAGAGGATCTCAGGAGAAGCGGCCGACCAGGCCTACGGGCAAGTCTGGGGGTGCGCGATACGGAGGGGTTCTCTACTCTCTATGAGAGACAAGGATGGAGGAGGAGGACGAAGAGAAAGTAGCCTCGCGGGAGTGCGCAGAGACCTCCTATATGGCGCACGAGTAGACGGGGTCGGAGGAGCGCGCTGCATTGCCGATGCATTGGCGATGCGGCGGCGATGCATCGGCGACGACAGCGATGCATCGGCGCCGTCTGCGTGGAGAAAATCGGGCTCCGCATCAAGCCGCGTTGCGCCGGCGATGCGGCACGGTCCTCTGACCCCATCCGCTCTGGCCCTACTTGGGAAGCCCGGAGTGCGCAGCCAAGCTGGGCGACGCTCCTCGGCGTCGTGGGGCTGCCCAGCGGTCGGCTGAGCTTCAGGCGGGTGGCTGTTGGGTACGCCGTCCGAGGGCGCTTGCCAGTCTCAGACATCCTCGATTTTTGTTTTGTCTGTCACTCCGCGGCCTCGGAGCTTCCGGCCTCCTCAACAAGGGTCCTTCTTGCGCCCCAGATTCATTTTTGGCGACCCCCGGGCCCGGTAGCGGCCCCAGGGGGGGCGAAATCAAGGAGAATTGTCTGGACCTGTAAAATCATATCGTCGGAAATCTGGGGTGAGGGCGAAGAAAGGGAGCAACAACAGCAGCGAGGAGTCGGGGTGCCCCAAGAGGCCCCCAGGAGGCCTCACGAGGCGCCCAAGAAGCCCCCACGAGGCCCAGAAGAAGCCCATGAGAGCCCCAAGAGCACTCCGCAGACAACCCCCAAGACGGCAAAGCCAATGCTTTTCCTCGTCGTCGTCGTCGTCGTCGTCGTCGCCGCCGCCGTCGTCGTCGTCGTCGTCGTCGTCGTCGTCGTCGTCGTCGTCGTCGTCGTCGCCGTCGTCGTCGTCGTCGTCGTCGTCGTCGTCGTCGTCGTCGTCGTCGTCGTCGTCGTCGTCGTCGTCGTCGTCGTCCCCCTTCAGGGTCGGCGGCCCCGGCCGCAAGGCCTCCGCAAGCAGATCGTCGGAGATCTGGGGTCGGGGAGGAGGCGGGGGGCCCCAGGACACACCAATAAATACACACAAATAAAAAGATTCCCCATATTTTCCCATATTTTTTTGGGTTTTCGTCTTCCCCCCCCACTTCCCATATTTTCCCACATTCTCGGGGGAATCGACGATGACTGGTGTCTGTGTGTGTTTTTTCCCCTCCTGGGAGGAAGCGGGGGGCCCCGAGGCCTGGGCGCTGCCGTCTCTGGCCCGCCCGGAGAGTTCTCTCCGGGGCGGCGGGGCCCTCTCGCGTGCAGGCCGATTCTCCTGGCTCGAAGGCATGCCGCAGCGAAGGCGAGCTCTTCAGACTTTTTCCGCTGTGGACGCCCGAAATGGGCACGGAAAGAACGGGTACAATGCCCAGCAACAAATGCTGTCCCGAACCAACAGCGGCCGCTGTTGGGCAGGCGGCCTTCTGTCTCGAATGGACACAGGCCGCGGCGGCGCGGACAGCGAGTCCTGTTCAAAATGAGCAGGAACTCCTGTTCAAAATGAGCAGGAACTGCTGTTGGGCATTGTACCCGTTCTTTCCGCACCCATTTCGTTCGTGCCGATCCGCAGCGAAATCGCCTGAACACTTGCTCGCTTCGTCAGCATCGACCCGGAAGCAGAGGGAGCGCTGCAAAGGAGCCCCACCTGCGCGCGAGGAGCAGGATCCAGCCGGGGAGGAGGGGCGGAGGACCGGGAGGGTGCCCCGGCAAGCGGACGCGGCGGGCGTTGTTGCGTTGAGGCCCCAGGCGGAGCGGCCCGTACGAAGTCCAGCACCGCGTGAGGCGTTGGGGCTCTGGGCGTGATCCTGGGCATCGCTCGGACGTCCATTCCCTGTGCTTCTCTCGGTTTCGTGCGTGGTTTTCTCGCCAAATGCTCAAGGATGCTCCTCGAGGGTCCTCGCCGAAGGAAAGAGTGCACACCTTCGAGCGATGCCAAGGATTGCCCACGGCGGCACCTACCATGCTCCGCGCCGTCGGACCCCCAGACCCCCCCCGCGTCGTGAACAGACTCACGCCGGGAGGGTCTCGGCGGGAGGGTCTCGGCGGGAGGAGGAGGAGGAGGAGGAGGAGGAGGAGGAGGAGGAGGAGGAGGAGGAGGAGGAGGAGGAGGAGGAGGAGGAGGAGGAGGAGGAGGAGGAGGAGGAGGAGGAGGAGGAGGAGGAGGAAGAGGGGGAGGAGAGAGGCCAGGAGGAGGGATCTCGGCTTCTCGGGGCCCTCACCCGGCGGCGGCAGCGGCGAACAACGGCTCAGGATGAAGCACGGGTCGCAGGGACAGGGCCCAGACCCCTGGGGGCCCGTCTCGTGGCAAAAAAAACGCGACATCGGGGGATGGGAGGAGGGAGGAACACCGAGCCCACTCGTACACAACAGGGGGACAACGATTCCGTCCTCCCCCCCGCGATTCCGTCCTCCCCCCCGCAAATCGCCCGTCAGCACCAACGGGGGGAGACTTCCGTGAGAAGCCCGCTGCAATCCCGCCTCCTGGGCGCTCGGCGCATGCGCCGTGAGCGCGCTTCGGGGCAAGCGCTGCTTCCTCCCCTCCTCCCCCCCTCCCCTGTCTCTTGGAGAGCCCCGATGCCCGACGATGTAAATTGTTCAATGCGCGGCCCCAGGAGGCCCCATTTCTGATTGCCCTGGGGCCCGAAGACGGCCCCCATGGAGGCCGCACTCAACGAACAAGAACGCCGCAATTGAAGACACCGCCCCGTCGGGTGTCTGGGACTGTGCGCGTGCGTGCCCAGGCCCCCCCGACGTCACGATTTTGAAAATCACCTGGACCCCCGAGAGTGTCGACCCCTTCCCCAAGTTCGGCGTTTCACCCCGAGCCTTTCTTTGACGGCCCTGGGGCCCGGCGAGGGCCACCTGTGGCCCACAATGGCGACACACAGTCCATCGCGATCTTGCCAGCGCGAAGAGCTCTGGCTGCAGGCCACTCCTGCGCCTGGGAGCTGGTGCCGTGGCGTCCAAACACGGTGCGGTGGCAGACCGTGCGGTGACCTCGGCATCCCCACGGTCCTCTCCTCGCGGTCCGTCCCCGCGCGATTTGGGCCCCTGTCGCCCGAGCCGTCCTCGGAGAACGCCAGGAGGGATCCCCAGGGCCGTGCGCTCACTCTGAATTCCCACTGGCTCACCACACGGCGTGGTCACCGTGCCATTCGGGGGCCCCCGAAACGCCGATATCGCTGCAGTCGGGATGGATTGGAGAGGACACGCGAGAGGACACGAGACCCTTCCGAGGGCCACGTTGCCACGGTAAATGTAGAAGGCACGTGCCGCGAACACACGGGACACAAGAGTACCCTTGGTTTGTTTGGACGCCCGAAATGGGCACGGAAAGAATGGGCACAATGCCCAACAGCAAATGTTGCCCCGAACCAACAGCGGCCGCTGTTGGGCAGGCGGCCTTCTGTCTCGAATGGACACAGGCCGCGGCGGTGCGGACAGCGAGTCCTGTTCAAAATGAACAAGAGATGCTGTTGGGCATTGTACCCATTCTTTCCGTACCCATTTTGGGCGTCCAGAGTTTGGCGGGGTCGACCGGCCAATCTGGGCCGACGGTACTTCCCTGGCCTCCCCCCGGGGTGCCTTCTGACTCGGGGTTCGAGACGAATCCAGCCGTGGCGACGGGGGCCTCCCGGGAAACCCAAGCAGTGTCGCGGTTCCGCGCCCGAAGCACAGGTGCTCTCGAGCCAGGACGAGAGAGAGAGAGAGAGGGAGAGAGAGAGAGGGATAGAGGGAGAGAGAGGGACAGAGGGAGAGGGAGGGATAGAGAGAGAGAGAGAGAAAACAAAAAGAAGGAGACAGAGACAGAGACAGAGACAGAGACAGAGGAGGAGAGGCAGAGCGCACTCGAAAACATCTGGCGACACATTGCACGTGCTGCGGGCGCTGGCGGCGAGGTCGTGGCTCGCCCGACCTCCTGCGCGTTGGGCCCCACCTTTGAGTCTGCCGCTACCCTTAGCCAGAAGGCGGCGGCGCTTCCCAGAAGTCGGCGGGCATTCTCAAGAGCCCCCGCGCCTTCTGAGGAGTTTTCAGCATCTTCGGGGAAGGCTTAAAAACACTTCCCAGAAGGCTGGAGGGAGACCTCTTGATCCTTTGAGGAGGCCCGCTCCCTCTGACTTCCCCCCTGGGCTCGCCGCCAACTAGAGTACGGTCATGAGCGTTTGGACCGCTTGTCGCTGCGGCGGCCCCGGCAAAACGCCACGCGCTGCGAGCGGACAGCGCGTCGCTCCGCTCCGCGGGGGCCGGAGGCGGGGACCACACTCGGCACGTGGACGCCTGGAGACCGCGACATGGACAGCGCGCCGCGCCGAGGCGGTGTGCGCCAGGACCCGCGGAGCGGCACGCTGCTCCAAAGCTCCCGACCGCGGAGCACCC